CTTCCCACCCACGTGACGGCAGTGCCTCTGGACGGTGTTTTGGGCAGTCATGTAGACACTGACATGGCATGGAGGTGGGCAGCTACTTCCTGGCACAGCTTCCATCCAAGTCTTGCTTTTGTTGCATTTCCAAGAGGATTCTGGGCCTGCTGGTATTGTTACCATCACCCTTAAGCACCAACACAGCCTTCGGGACTTCTACCCCGTCATTCGCTTGAATCTTCTCACCTCTATGGCATTTGCTTGAGTCCTTCCGTTTCTACACGTCTGCATAGAGAACTGCCTTCTGCGCACATGGATTTTGTTTTGTTTTGCTTTTGTTGTTTTGGGCAAGGTGTCATACAGTACACTGCTCTGAACTTGAACTGAGTCTGAATTTGAAGCTGAGTCTGGCCTTGAACTCCTTTTCCTTCAGCTTTTCCAGGCTTCCGGCCAGATGTCTCCGCCACAGCATCTCACCTGTCCAGTTGCTCTGGGTTTCGAATCTTACAATGTCTAAATGGCTTTGGAGTGACAGGGAGAATGTAGAAGCTGACACATGTAGCAATCAGTAAGTATTGGTTTAATTTGAATTTAAGTCAACCTGGGTTCTAACCCCACCTGTGTCTTAACTCCCAGGGTCTCTGGGCCTTGTTTATTCCTTTTGCTGCAGGAAGCTAATGGCCTTTCTCATCTCCCAGGTCTCTTGCAACCCTAAAATCACTGAGGTGCTAACTGTACTGTAGGGGCCCTGGTGTTGGCTCAGAGCCTCTTCTCGAGGTTTCTATCTAACCCTTCAGAAATAAGTCACACACTTGACCCCTCCGAGAACCTCTGCTCTGTCTCTCCCATGCTGCAGCAACCTCCTCTCTGATCCTCTCTGATCTCCCATGGTCTAAGTGCCTCTGAGAAGTCACTCTGGCTGTTCCTTCCTGCTACTGGGATACGTTCCTCCCACACTTGCAAAACATGGTCACCTCTCATCCCTGGGGCCTCAGCTGACATGCTACTTCTCTACAAGCTGTCCTTGACCTCTTATCTAGACTACATACCCCCACCCTGAGCCAGATACTCCCCATGACATCGTATTTATTTCTTTACAGAGCTTATTACCACAGAATCATCTTCTTCCCTTACCGGCTTGTTATCACACAGACCCCTGCCTTGCACCCCAGAGCTCCACAAGAGCAGGAAATTATCCATGTCTTTTTGCAGTTTATTGTAGAATCAGATGTTGTTGGCTGTTTTTTCACTCTTAGCTCTTTTGGCTCTTAGTTCTTTTGGCTATTTTGGGGGGGGTCTGTCACCCAGCTCCCAAATAAATCACACATGGAAGCTTATTATTACTTATAAATGCCCGGCCTTAGCTTGGCTTGTTTCTTGCCAGCTTTTCTTAACTTTAAATTATCCCATTTATCTTTTGCCTCTGGGCTTTTTTTTTCTTACTTCTGTAATCTTACTTTCTCTCTTACTCCATGGCTGGCTGTGTGGCTGTGTGGCTGTGTGGCTATGTGGCTGGCCCCTAGCATCCTACTCTCCTTGTTCTCTTGCTCTTTTCTTTTTTTTTAAAGATTTATTTATCTATTATGTATACAATGTTCTGTCTGCATATATTCCTATATCCCAGAAGAGGGAACCAGATCTCATTATAGATGGTTATGAACCTCCATGTGGTTGCTGGAAATTGAACTTAGGACCTCTGGAAGAGCAGTCAGTGCTCCCAACTTCTGAGCCATCTCTCCAGCCCAGCTCTTTTCTTCTTTTCCCAGATTTCTCCCTCTATTTATTCTCTCTGCCTTCCAGCCCCACCTACCCTTCCTCCTGCCTTGCTGTTGGCCATTCAGCGCTTTGTTAGACCATCAGGTGTTTTAGGCAGGCACAGTAACACAGCTTCACAGAGTTAAACAAATGCAACATAAAAGAATGCAACACATCTTTGCATCATTAAACAAATGTTCCATGGCCTAAACAAATGTAACACATCTTAAAATAATAGTCTACAACAATCAGACTTCCAGAAACTTATACAATGCCAATTCTAAAGTACAAAAGCTGCTCTTTCCTCTGAGAAGACCTGGCTCCCTGCTAAGCACTGGCTTGATGAACATATATGACAAGGTTTCAGGCCCTCTTTCTTCTTGGCCAAGTGGGTGAACAACCTATATGAGTCTGTGTACTCTGCCATCCAGCAGGATGCAAGATGCCTGGTAACATATAGAAACTTAATATTAGTTAGATGAATACATCAAAGTTAATGAGGTGTGATTACCTACAGTAAAATGTACCATTTTAACTCTTCACTTCAATGAATTGCTATAAATGCTGCACCAAGGTGATCACTGCACAGTCAAGAGATGGAAATTCTGTTATCCTCTCCAAGAACGTTCCTCTTTCTTCCTATGATCCCCCTTCCTGAGCTCAAGCAATTATAGAATCATTTCATCTTAGTTATGACTCATTCCAAAAGACTTTCAAACTCATTTTTTTCTGAAAGACTTATTTATTTTATATATATACATACGTATATATGTATATATACATACATATATGTATATATATATATGCCTTTATTCCAGAAGAGGGCAACAGATCCTACTGTAGATGGTTGTGAACCACTATGTGGGTGCTGGGAATTGAACTCAGGACCTCTGGAAGAACAACCGGTGCTCTTAACTGCTGAGCCATCTCTCCAGCCCTTCAGCACTCATCTTAAAAGCAAATGAATACATCAAAATCAACAAAAAGTGAAAGAAAAAAGAGCAAAAAAGACAAAAATCTAACCCAGTAAGAGTTGTTAGTACATGTCCTGGTTAGTTTTTTGTCAAATTGATACAAATGAGTCATTTGGGAAGAGGGAATCCCAGTTGAGAAAATATCCCACTAGATTGCTCTGGGCATTTTATTGATTAATGATTGATGTGGGAGGGCTCAGCCCACAGGGCTTAGTGTCACTCTCTGCAGGTGATGCTGGGTGGTACAAGAAAGGTTGAATAAACAACGAGGAACAAGCCAGTAAACAGCAATCCTCCTGCCTCCAAGCTCCTGCCTGGTCCCTAGCCTGACATCTTTTGATGATGAACTATGACGTGGAAGCATAAGATGAAACAAACCCTTCGTCATCCAGATTGCTTTGGCCATGGTGTTTTATCATATCAACAGGAACCTAACTAAGACAGTATAGCTTCAGTAATTGGGCTTCAAGAATCTGGCTGGGGAGCCAAGACAAAGACAGGGTTGAATTTGTTCATCCTACAGGAAGAAGTAAGTCACTTTCCCACAGGAGGCAGAACTTGACCCAAGGTTCCTCTCATGGAGGCCATCAGACAGAAGGTTCTAGAAGATGCCTAGAGAGTGTCCTCAATGATAGTTTCCTACACACACACACACACACACACACACACACTATAATATATAATATATCATATATATGTATATATATGTGTATATATACATATACATATATATGTATATATATCAGGAACACTCATCCATTTTATCTGAGCAACTTCCTATAAGCATTCCTGTGGCAAATATTAATGTATCTTCCCTAAATGAAGGGTCTCAACTGGGCTTTTCAGAGACACAGGAAGAAAACGGTTCATAGGTTTCTTCTCTGGTGAGGGTCTGAACTACCAAATCAGATGGCTGCAGGCAGAAGCTTTTGCTTTGAAACCCAGGTGAGCATGTGGGAGGTGTAATGTTTAGTTATGAAACTTAAAAGGGCCTAGAGGAGGATCCCTGTCTAGATCAAAGGCCTCCCCACCCGGCCTGGAGCGGGGCTACTGGTGTGCGGGAGGAATCTGAGGCAAAGCCAGGATTTCCCCTCCTCCCCTTAGGAACTATTGCTGGAATTGGGCCAGCCCAAGCTGGGACTTCATTGACACATGAAATTTCTGTAGAGTGGGGACATGAACACTTTCAATATGAAATGTATTGTGGGCGAATGTTGGCAGCTTCCCCGATAATCCTTAGAAACACTTTGGTAAAGTCCTTGGAAGGTTGAATTCTGAACGACAGCCCCGCTTGCCTTATAACCCAGATTCCTTTTTTTCCCTGATGGATCCCGAATCAACTGAGAAATAGGACCAAGGGCTGAAGCAGAAGGAAGTAAAAATACATCTGTGGCTTGTGGCCGTAGGCAAATGAGTTTCCTGGGTCTTAGCCCCAGAATTAGACAGTCTCCCCTCCGCCATCAAGGATAGCATCTGGGCAGCACAGGCATCTAGGAGAACATATGGCCTCCAATGAATCATTACTTCCGAAGGAGTGAAGAGGGGGAGCAGGGCACTCCGCTCAGCCTTACCCTCCAAATTCACAAGTCAGCTGCCCTGGGCTATCAGAACATTTCAGGCCCTGGGTGACCGCTGGGGTAAATTAGCCACAGAAGAACCGCTCAAGCAATCGAAGCCGTGTTATATATCTGATACTGATCGTTTAAATATTGGTGGTTGAGCTTAAACACTTGTTTTTGAAAGTGAATTAGTACATAGACTCCATCCTTGCCCCCTTCTTCCTTGTTTTTGGTGCTGGGGATAAAACCTGAGGCTTTGTCTTCAAATAGGACCTCACCAAGTTGCCCAGTTTGAACTTGTACTTATGGATCTTGTACCTCAGCCTCTACAGTAGCTGGGATTATAAGACCACGCCACCAGCCTAGCACAAACACTGTCTTCTTTCTCTCTCTCTTTTTTATGTTATTTTATTTATTTGTTTGTTTGTTTACTTATTTAGGTTTTTTGAGACAGGGCTTCTCTGTTTAACAGCTCTGACTATCCGGAAACTTGTTCTGTAGACCAGGCTAACAGAGATCCACCTGCTTCTGCCTCCTGAGTGCTGGGATTAAAGGCATGCGCCACCACCGCCTGGCCCTTCTCTCTTATTTTTTTTTTTTTTTTAATAATAAGAGGGGCTGGAGAGATGACTCAGCAGTTAACAGCATTTGTTCCTCTTCCAGAAGACCCAGGTTGGATTCCCAGCACCCACATAGTGGCTTACAACCATCTCTAACTCTAGTTCCAGGGGATCCAATACTCTCTTCTGGCTTCTGTGGGCACCAGGCATGCACACAGTGCATAAACATACATGCAGGCAAAATACCCAGACACATAAAATAATTTTAAAAATAAAGTAATAAGATAACACCTGCTGTTAATGGCTATTAATGCCATAATGCTATTTTGGCAGAAGTGCTTGTCTCCATTGTTTAAAAATTGTTACCAACCAGAAAGATCTGTATTCAAAGCAAGGAGGTACATTAGACTTTTCCATCACAGTGACAAATACCTAAGACAGTTCAAATGAACAAAGATTGATTTGGGCTCGTGATTTTAGAGATGTTCATCCACGGTTTGCTGGATCCATTGCTTTGGCCTAAGGTGAAGCTGAATACCACAGTGGCAAGACTGTATTAGAAAGACTGCCTTATGACAACCAAGAAGCAGAAAGAGGCAACAGGAAGGGACCAGGGCAGGATGTGCCCTTCAAAAGCATTCCTGCCCTGAGGCGATGTAATTATTCCACTCTTCTACAGTTCAACCACCTCCCTATAGTCTATTCAGATTTTTAATTCATCAACATATTAAACCATTCATTAGGCCAAGGACTTTTTGATCTAGTCTTGTCTGAAAATGCCACCCAGGTATATCCAGGGAAACATCACCCTCCCAGGTAGTTTCCAGTCAAATCAAGTCCAGTCAATATTAACCATCATGCGTCCAAGGAAGATGGCCTATGGTCAGTAAAATGCTTGCCACAAGAGCGTGAAGACTTGGGTTTGGATTCCCAGCATCCACACAAAAAGCCAGATATGGTTGCATTTACCTGTGATCCCAGCAATGGGGAGGCAGTGATAGGAAGATCCCTGGAGCTTGCTGGCCGGTGAACCCCAGGTTCAGTGAGGGATCTTGTCTAAATAATTAGGTTGAAAGAGATTGAGGAAGACATCCACTGACCTCCATATATATGCACACACACATGCTTGCATCCCCATGCACATGTAATGTAGACAGAACATAGACACATGCATATAACATATACACACAAATAAATAAAACACTATCTAGTATTAACTGCCATAGGGAGTAGGGCTGAAATGTACTCTTGTTTTATCCCAGTTAAAACTTGCCTGGCCCTTTAAGTTCCTCTCACCACTCTTTGATTCAGCGGTGGTATTTATTATAAATGGGATCTTACATAGACAAAAGCAATCATCTTGATAGGTTCTTGTTGCTTTGTCTGCAGTTAGTTCTGGCCTGTGGCATTCTGGGAAATACATAAAAAAATGGCTTTTTGAGCTGGGTATATGGGTCCACATCTGCCACACCAGGATTTAGGTAGTCAAGACAGGAAAATGTCTAGGTCAAAGATATTCTGAGCTACATAGTGAGACCCTCCTGCACCTCCCAAAAAAGTAATCCTGGTACCTGGGAGGAAGAGGCAGGATTAGGAGTTCAAAGCCAGCCTCAGAGTTAACAGTAAGTTCCAGGTCAACCCAGTCTACATGTCCTTAAAAACAATGACGTTCATTCCAGAATAGAGTCCTGATTCACAGTCTTCTCTGTTGTGTAGTTTGTCTGGGGCAAATATTTCCTACAAGGCTGATTTCAGGGTCCCAGTGGGATGTCGATACCTGCAGAGTCGGAAAGAAAGAGCGTCATGCACTGGGAGTGATGTGGCCAAAGGGACCACAGAAGATTTACTCTCCACACCACGTGTGAGATGGCGAGGGTCCTGGGCAGCTGAGTGGACAGGGAGAGGGCAAGGCCAAGGATGGAAAACAATGGGCCCGCATCTGCTTCTCATCAGGTCAAAGCCCCAAGGAAGAGGTCATCAATCTCCCCAGGAAAAAAGCCCTGGAAACCTGTCAGATGTTTTGGAAAGGAACCCCGACGCCCAAACAACATGCAGTCAATAAATGGAGGTGATTACATCAGGGTAACACCTCGGTATTCTTTTTTATTAATGATTAATTAATTAATTTTACATCCTAACTGCAACTTCTCCTCCCTCTTCTCCTCCCACTCCTTCCCTCCCCTCCTCCCCACCCCTCCTCAGTACACTCCTCCTCTGTTTTCACTCAGAAAGGGGCAGGCCTCCCTTGGGCATCAGCAAAGCATGACATATCAAGCTGCCTTAAGACCAAGTACCTCCCCCTGTCTTCAGGCCAGCCAAGGTAATCCAGCATGAGGAATAGATTCCCAAGAGCCAGCCAAAGCACCAGGGACAGCCCCTGTTCCCATTGCCAGAAGCCCCACAAATAGACCAAGCCACACAACTGTTGCATATATGCGGAGGGTCCAGGTCGGTTCCCTGCAGGCTCCCTGGTTGTTGGTTCAGACTGTCAAGGGGACAAAATGGCAGCCTACAGACTGGAAAAAGATCTTCACCAACCCCGCATCTGTCAGAGGGCTGATCTGTAAAATATATAAAGAACTCAAGGAATTAGACATCAAAACCCCAAAAAATCCAATTAAAAAGGGGGTACTGGCCCAAACAAAGAACTCTCAACAGAAGAATCTCAAATGGCATCACCGTTCTTTCTTCTCTGTGACATGTCTGTGTGGGGGTGAGAACGGAGTAAACACCCCTCTGAGCAGTTACCCACCGTGGACAAAAGTCTCTTCGCCTCTCCCGCTGCCTCCCTCCTTTGGATTAAGATCCATCCTGTCAGAGTGAGTATCGAGTGTCCAGTGGGACGCGTACAGGAAGCCAGCCACAAACTCCAATAGTACACAAACAGTTCTCCCTACCACTTTACCCTTTCTTTCCCCGAAGAGTGTGCCGGGCTAGGGAACCAGAGACTTGCTTTGTAGTTACTCCTCTGGCGTCCTTTCTTCTGGTCTGTCAGTTCTCTGAGAAGTAGTTTTCTCAACTGCATACTAGAAGGCTGGACCAGTTGACCCCTATTCATATTCCAACACCTTCCCACTGCCATTTCATCCTTTTGCCCCGCAGGTTTTCTTCTCCTTCTCCTTCTCCTTCTCCTTCTCCTTCTTCTTCTTTTCCCCCTGAGACAGGGTTGCTCTGTGTAGTTTTGGTGCCTGTCCTGAAACTCACTCTGTAGCCCAGGCTGACCTTGAACTCACAGAGATCTGCCTCTGCCTCCTGAGTGCTGGGATTGATGGCATGCGCCACCACCACCCGGCCCCTGCAGTTTTTCTTAAAAAGCTTTCTCGGCCCTGAGTTGAGAGCTGAATGACTTCTCCGCCTCTGAGAGCTCTCCTCTCATGTCAGGGAGCATCTTCACAGAGGTGACTTTCCCATCTGTTTTCACACCTTGACATGATGGGGGAAGGCACGGGTTCTATTTTCAGTTCTATTTCCTCCCCAGGGCTTCTGAGCCCAAACCAAAGAAAACAAGCAAACAAAAAGAGATCACAAATCATGTTTGGAGTGTCATTATATGGTCAAGACCTTGAAAGATGGCCTAGTGTTCTTCATCATTTGGTCAGTTTTCTGAGTTCAAGGCCATTTTGAGTCCGGTAGAACACTGTGCTGTTTTTTTAGCCTTTGGACAGCAAAAGAATGCCAGGGGCCTTTTCTAGTTTGGTTTTACCACTACAGGACTCCAGGATAAAGTCAACACATATATGCTCTGATTCATTCACACTCCAGTTACGAAACAATGATTTGGGATCTTAGAAGGCTTCAGAGTTTTAATGAAAAAAATCTTTCCAAAGTTTTCTTTGCTTTGAACACAGCAGTTACATAAAGGCTGCAGACTTTCCTGCCTTTGAGACATTTGCCAAAAATCTCTTTTATCAACTTCAGGGGTTATGTCAATACGTCTAACATAATTGTACCTTAAAATTGTTGCAACTTGAAAAAAAAAAAAAAAAAAAAAGTGATGTGCGCATGTCTCTGTGTGACCATAGGGTAGGTTCCAGAACCATCTAAGCGCTTTGTGCTGCCAATAACATTTATAATGTTTAGATGCGGCTGCTGTTTTCTCATTTGTGTAAGGAAGCTGGGGTTCAGGTTTTGTCATGCCCAAGACCAGAGCTGACAAACCACAAAGTCAGAATGTGATTAAACTATCTCTGTCTGAAGCCTCTTGGTTAATTTTATGCAGCTCAGCAAATATTTATCAAGCATCTCCATGTGCCAGGTGTTGTCACAAGCCTGGAGAGAGACACAGGGGAGGACCTTGAGATGCCACCAGTGAAGGGCTTCTTCTTTTTGGCCTTCAGTGGGTGACTGAAGATGGCAGCGGGGGTGGGGGGGTGGGGGGCTGGGGGGGAGTGTGTGGGGTTGCATCAATTAGGATGTGACAGATTGCAAGGAACAGGAAATCCAAGTCAACTGCCTTAAGCAATAGGAAGAAAACAGCCTGGTCCAGTTGCTCCGCCCCAACCCATGTCCCTTTTCTGCAAGCTGCAGAATCCCCATATCTAGCCAGGCATGTGGCCTTCAAGAAAAGACCTGTTTCCCAGTCAGAATTTGGTGTGCATAAGTTCTGGTATATAAGGAAAAGTGCCGCGTACATCTTCTGTGACAGGTCATTGCCCATCCCCCTTTGGTTGGCTCAATGCCGGTGTGAATGCGGGAGCTGGAAAAGACGTTCCAGACTAGGGGAACAAAGACGTGTGAAGGCGGCAGAGTCACCAGGTGGAAGAGCTAGCCCTAGAACCAAGTCAGGGTCTCACGTAGCCCAGGCTGGCCTGGGATCCCATAGGTAGCTGAGCATGACCTTGAGCTCTGATCCTCCAGCCTATACCCCCAACCTCCCTAAGGCTGATGTCACAGGTGTGTACCAATGTGCCTGATTTATAAGGTACTGGGAATTGAGTACAGGGTCTCCTGCCTGCTAGCAAGCCTTTCTACCAACTGAGCTGCATCTCCAGCCTTACCTCTGCTCTCTCTATAAAAAAAAGAAATTAACCTGGAAAAGAAATAAACCTTAAACTTAATAACGCCACGATTACTTGTTTCGGGTATATGCAGTTGAATCTAATCCTACTCATGTCCTTATACGCTTTAGAGCAGTGGCTCTCAACCTGTGGGTCACGACCCCCTCAGTGACCATTGGAAAGCACAAGATATTTACATTTCCATTTGTAACAGCAGCAAAATTACCGTTATGAAGTAGCAACAAAAATAATTTTATGGTTGGGGGGTCAGCAAAACAGGAGCTGTATTAAAGGGTCGCAGCATTAGGAAGGTTGAGAACCACTGTTCTAGAGGTTGGCTGGGCTTATGTGATCGTGATCGCCTGAGACTTCAGCTCCCCATGGAATCAACTTTATTCTAGATCCTTGTTTGTTCTTCCATTGATGTTGGTTTTGTCTTAAGACCGAGTAATTTTGTGGGGTAAGATGGGTGTGCTATGGGAGGAGTGATGTCTGGACGATCTCTCATAAAAATGATGAGGCCCCTTTCTCAGAGCCTTCTGACACCTCCTTGCTTCTCATTTCCTTGAATGAAACCAAGTGCAGCTAGGCGATTGTCGATGCACTGATTTAGTCCCGGCAGGACACAGGGCTCATCCTGATGAACGTGGGCTCAGCCGGGCAGTCAGTCTCTAACGTGGGTGAGTTTTGGCTTGTGCTGTTCTTGATGGACGCCGGTGGTTCTCACTGAGTGAGGCGCAGGGGCAGCACACTTTTCATGTATGTTAGCTAAGAGGAACCAGTGCAAAAAAGAGGCTCCCTATTCCAGGAACTAGAAAGAGGCTGGTGGGCTTAAAAAAAAAAAAGTGACTTTACCGGTAGCCCCAAACACTGGCTCCATACAGTACCCAAAAATCCATGGGAAATGAGCTGAGCTGCCCCCCCCACGCCCCCCCATTCCCCCCCATTCCCATAAGGTGGTTCAGAGAAAGCTGCCACTGAGGAATTTCTAATTTAGCCCGGTCTTATCTCTATTCTCCCCACCCCTTGCTCCAAGGCTGCTTGAGGAAGCTGTACTGTCTGGAATTTAATTATTTCAGGTAAAACGTCCTTCTAAGGACTCCCTAGGAACTTCAGAGGAGCCATACATTAAACCCAGCACATATCTGCCTCCTTCCTTCCTTCCTTCCTTCCCTTCCTTCCTTCCTTCCTTCCTTCCTTCCTTCCTTCCTTCCTTCCTTTCTTTCTTTCTTTCTTTCTTTCTTTCTTTCTCTCCCCCCCCCCCTTTTCAAGACAGGGTTTCTTTGTGTAGCCCTAGCTGTCCTGAAACTTTCTCTACAGACTAGGCTGGCCTTGAACTCGTAGAAATCCAGGATTAAAGGTGTGTGCCACCACTGCCCAGCCGTATCTGTTTTCTTAGGGTGCTGGGGACCAAACCCAGGACATTATACATAGTAGGAAAGCTCCTTGCCCCAAGCTATGTCCCCAGGCACAATTGTTGATTAGATTAAAGGAAGTGCCCTTAACTCTCAGTCTCCTTTACAATGGGGAACAATAGGCCGGGAGACAATTAGGCATCATCATGGAAAAGAGAAGTTCCCAGTTCCAGCTAATCAGAGAGGGCAGGGTTGGGCATCACAGTGGGAATGTTCTGAGCTCTGTCAGGGTAAGAGGCAGGGACACTGAGGATGATGAGGAAGTGGAGATAGTGGACTTTAATGACCCAGTAATTTAGCTCAGGGCTAGCCCTGAGCAATCTGTCCTGAGAGACAAAATTGCTCTTACTGGGTTCTTTGGCTGTTGATGGACAGCATCTCCATTACTTCCCATCTTGGATGCACCAATGCTTGCCAGCATCTTTGAAGCTTTATTTCTTACTCAGCCGTCTGGCCGGTGACATGCCCACATGGCTCAGTACACAGCCTTGTTCAAACGACAGGGTTCCATTAGTCTCCCCAAAGTAAAAGGGAGCAACCCAGAAGGGGACCCATCATGTCAGACACAGGGTGAAGGCAGAGACTGCCCAAAATAGGATCAGAGGAGCCAGAGCGTGGAAAGCAAAGAGGCCTTCCGCATTTCCAGCCAGTTCTAAAAGCAATCCTAAAGGAGCATCTTCTGCAGTAAACTCATTTGGGTACCACCTTCTAAGGGGCCATCCATTCATTAAAACAACGACATGTGCTTGATTATTCAACCCCAAAAGAACAAGACCTGGATTATTCTCTGAAAGGACCATTCCCAGACTCCTCGAATAGTGATCTTCCCACCAGTAATTCTCCAGTGATCATGCCAAGGTTATTTATATCCGAATCACACCACAGGTGAGAGGGTGGTGATGGCGGTGGGAAGAAGTCAGCAGTGCCGAGCCGCTGGCCCCTCCCTACAGAAGTACAGCCCACTAATGACCAGCCTTGACGCCAGCTGGCCAGCCTGGCACGGTGGAGCACACTGTAATTCCAGCACCCAGGAGGCTGAGGCAGGGGGACTGACACAAGTGGAATGCCAGCTTGGACGGCACAGAGAGTTTCAAGGCCCCAGGGATGGAGGACAAGTCCCTGCCTGAAAATCAAGAAGCAGTTTTAGTGCACGTAGGGTTTAAATACAGTGAGTCTTAGTAAGTGCCGATAACCATCCCTTAGGGATTACAGGCTCCATGTTAACCAAGACAGCTGCGTCATATCTCACCCGAGCCTCACGTTAGCCCCAGGAAGAATACCGGCCTCATCAGCATCCGACCCATCCTGTTTGGGGGACCACGGTGCTGTGCAGCCAGGCATCGGCAGGATGTCACACACTACCACTTGGCTGCAGGTCAGGCCTTGCCACACTGAGCTGGGCCTTCCTGGTGTTTTTCTGAATAGTCATGACAGTCCAGCTTCCTAATAAAGCATCTACATTTGGGTCACTGCCTAAAGAAAGAAAACTGACAGCCAGGAACAGCCGCCTTTGAGGGAAAACAGCAAAAGCTTGGGAGAGGGCTGGCCAGGTGACTCCCTGGGTAAAATGTGCACGCTTGAGGACCTGAGTTCTCCACAGAAAGCTGGATGCACCCGCAAGGGTCTGCACGTCTATGGGGAGATGGGAGGTAGAGAAAATAGAACCCCTGGAGGCTCAGAGGCCAGCTAGCCTAGTGTGTGTACATAGCAATGACATACAACCCTCTCTCACACAGGGGCGAGATGAAGACTGATACCTCTACATGTATCCTGTATAAACATATTACATATCACATTCACATACACATCTCTCTCCCTTGTGCGCGCGCACGCGCACACACACACACACACACACACACACACACACACACACACACGATTAATAGAAGTAAAACCTTGGAAGATATCCACTGTCGTCAGTGGGCTAACAATAGTGTAGAATCTCTTCATCCTACAGTCCAGGCTCTTGTGTTACAGGTTTAGGCTTGGATCGGCTGCCTCAGTCCATTGGTCTGAGTGAAAACGCTAAGTTGTCTTAGCAGTAAA